GGTTGCGTTGCACCAGGGAGCTCCACCATCCTCTGAGTTGCAGACCGCCTAGGAGCAGGTCAAATGACGAGTCCACCAAGGGAGCTCGCCACCAGGGAGTTCGCCACCAAGTATCTTTCCACCAGGGAGCTCGCCACCAGGCAGTTCTCCACCAGGGAGTTCGCCACCAAGTAGCCCATCACCAAGCAGTTCGCCACCAGGGAGCTCCATCATCCTCTGAGTCACAGGCCACCTGGGAGCAGGTCACATGACGAGGTACTTAGCCAAAAAAAAATTGATACATCACAAAAATTGGTATGTGACCGGAAACGGTTACATCAAGTATAAACACAAATATGTCTAATACAAATACATATAAAATAATACAAAATAAAAGGTTTTACACTATAAATTTGTATTTGTATTTCTTCCAAACTGAACCTTAAATGACTTGAAAATAACAACAACAATAATAATAATAACGACACCTTTTTCGTAACGTGATTATTTTACTCCACCGCAGATTTTGTGTTCAGGTCCGGGTCAGTTTTGGGCCCAATGCTTTATGCCCAGTCTGATCCGAAATATATGTGTATTTACAGATAACTATTATAATATTATTATATATGCTATGTTATGTTATATATATTAAAGATAATATATTTAATTTTGTCGTTTTGTATTCAGGTGTAGAGTGCGGGCCAAAGGGGCTTGAGTAAAAAAATGATATTAATGAAAATCATATTCTACCCATCTTATAAATTTTTATTTATTTATTTATTTTATTTTAAAAAACCCCATTTATCACCCACCTACCCTCAAATTATATTAGATTCTCCCACCCATTGTTTTCAAAACTGGACTCGACCGGACGGTTGGATTGGAAAAATTGGGAACCGGTCACCTGATTGGTTCCGTTTTCCTCCAAAACCGCTTTTTTCCCCCAAAACCATTGATTTTGGTCAGCAAACTGCTGAACCGGCCGGTTAACTGTTTGAACCGTTCAAACGGTTTTGACCATTTTCCGATTCTTTAAAATTTTTATTTTTTTTTGTCAAAATGGGTTGACCGTTCGGGTCGAATGGTCGAACCATTCGAACTGATAATCGGACCCTTGACCGGTTTGTTTTTAAAAACCATGCTCCCACCTATTACTGTTTCAAATAGTGATATATTAGGGGAATGGGAGAATCAATACTTTGCCCTTTAGGTGCAAAGGTTGATCCACATTTGGCCCGGCCCAACAGCCCAGCCCATGATCACCTCTACCTTTTATCCTTTTTCTTAATAAAAAATGAACGACATTTGGATGCATGAGCCCAAACCAAGTCCCAACTGATCCAATCCAATAAAGCCCATTGAAGGTATTTTCTTGAAAGTACAAAGGAGTATGGAAAAAGGTTATGTAGGGACGAGACCGGATCTGCTCCTCACACCTGACACCTCACATGCACATCCTATCATGCATTAGAAACATTTTCCGTATTTATTAATTATTATTCATGGGAGATGTTTCCAATGCACAGTGGATGTGCATATGAGGCGCCCATTTGTGAGGAGCAGATCCCATCTCCGTAGGGACCACCCTTGAGTTACTCTATTTCAGTCGAGACGGGATCTGCTCCTTACAAATGGGAGCCTTCACATGTACATCCACCGTGCATTGAGAACATCTCCCGTGAATAATAATTGATAAATACTGTGCGTGTGACAGATTCGGTCTCATTTCAGTGATGTGTATGGGTGATGCGATTAATCTGAAATTCTTCTGATTGATACACGTGTTCAATCCTCCAATCTAAATCAGTCTGGGATACACAATGGGGAGTAGCCCATCTTCCAACCCATGAAGGGTTACACGTGTTCGATCCCAAGTCTCCGCTCCCACCGAGAGATAGGGCAAGGGCTTTCCGACTTGAAAGCAGGTGTTCCTTTTGGAACCATCTTTGAGAGCGCTTTTGGCTAATGTTTAGTGAAATTCCATAGAACCAAATTGGATGATCGTATCTGTCATTTTTCGCCAACTCGCTCAATCAAATTTGAGGCCTCTTCCATTAGCTTTAGTGGGTTTTCATCAAAATTCATTCAAATAAAATTAAAAAAAAAAAAACTTCTAAAAGAACCAAAAAGATTTATATAAACATTGAAAATTTATAGAGTGCCCCTAGTGGATATATCAGTTCCCTATATGCATGTGTGTGATGGGAATAGATGGGGTTAGATGGTAGAGGGACAAGCTAACCTGTGAAGATCCCCTAAATCGGCTTGGTATTTCCCGCCATGTGTCCTTTTTTTTTCTGTGGTTTATTTGTCTATATTTCCAACATATGATGTAGGCCTATAAAGTAGGATTTTGTAAAGGAGGAGGGAAGGTGTAGATGCTGCTGCAGCCAGCAGGTGCTCCCCTACGGCACGTAGTAGGAGGAATATTGTGTGGGGCCTCCTAAATCAAACATGGGGCCCCACTTTCGAGTTTGACTTACTCGCAAAAGCAGTTTTTCCGATTTGATATATCTGCTGCTCCGCTTCTAGTTTTTGATGGGGGGACTAGGGTAACTAAACTATGGTCTTTAGGGAACAAGAAAATACTTTTGAGCTCCGAGCAATGAGCAATGTCATTGCATTTATTATTTATACAAGCGGATCAGGAACATGGACATGGTGGCCCACTCCAACTCCCACTCATCAAATTGCAGATGAGGGACGTATCTATGTCAGATGGAACAATATGGTAGATGTGTGGTGTATGATGCACTCATTCCCTCAACTATTCTTTTTTAAGGTACATCAATGCCATTGTCTAGGAATTCCTGGACGCTTTTGCCACATTACTTTTCTGACATGGACGAGAGATCTGTCAACATGCTTAATTGGGATTTGGGAGGGAGGGTGTCTTAGATCAATGACAATGAACGGTGATCCAATGATCACGCTCTTAGATCATTGGTTTAGACTTTTGATTCGCGGACTGGACTTTCCACGTGGACAGAAATGGAGGCTATTCAGCCTATTCTGCATGACTGCATGTTACGCTGGATGGTGGATATGAGAGAGCGAGAGCGAGAGCGCAAAGTAAGAGGGGTGAATCTAAAAGTGGAGAATTTTAAGGAGATTTGTAACAGTCGAGAAATTAGTTTGTGCCATTATGTGGAAGGCTTTGCTGGGTTTAACTCCTATCCTTCGCCTCTCCCTTTAGACTCGGACCCTCTCTCTCTCTCTCTCTCTCTGTGAAAGGTAACAGAACAGAGTAGAAAACCATCTTCACTATCTCTGTTTCAGTTTTTCCCGTATTCTTTCCTTCGTCTGTTCCTCTTCTGTAGTTTCTCTCAATGTATCTTCAAGTTCTGAGGTTGCCCAAATAATATTAAGCACTATTACATGGCATGCATGAAGTTGGGCTCCAAGTCTGAAATCTTTCATCGTGAGAACCAGAACTGGTAAACCATTTTTCCTATTCTTATTTTTTTTTCAACCTAAAAAGATCTTGTAGTAGTTGCTGGTTTCTTGATTGAATCATTCAAACTGTGACAAATTAATTCTATTGTTACTTTGTAAAATCCACAAACTGGGTAGTACAGGCATCCCCAGGTTTGCTTCAGAGACGGGCATTAGCTTCAATTCTAGCTTATCCACCCGAAGAATTTTATTTAGGCAAAGTGTGATGTTTCGATCAATGGGAACACAAGGTGCGTTTGGATTGAATCATTTTAACCCAACAATCCGCTTCAGAGGTGCTGGTATTTTGGCCCTAATGACCATCATTGCTTACTTACCGTAATCCCGTGTATAAATGTGTGTACTTTGTGTGCACCTTGTGATTTTTGTATAAACAGTGAACCACCTACTTGTATCTGTCTATCTATATTAATTAGCATTTTCACTCTCGGAGGGTTGCAGAACGTTTAAAACCCAACTTCTGTGTTATTCTCTCGAGTCTTAGTTGAAAGGGTAGTTCCATCTCATTTGGAAGGACAACTTCGTAGAAGCTAAATTTGGCTAGAAAATATTAGAATGTACAAGTGAGAAAATGTGAAAAAATAGGAGGAATTTCATTGTAGGGCAGATAGTTATAATACCTGGCAGGATTTACTTCTGTGCAGACTGTGGCTTTTTCAAATTCCATATCTGGAACTATGCAGACTGTGGCTTAAATCCAAATCAACATGGTAAAAAATTAAAAGAAAAAGTGTAAAGGAGCAGCTTTGATACTAATAGCAGTAAAAAGAAAGAGCAATCCCTACACCTGGAAGGGAATCAAGATAAGGGAAGACTACAATTGGAATATCCTGACCTCTAGAAACAAAATAACTACAAAATACTCTTGTCTCTTGACTGAGCCCCAGAGCCTGCTGACCCATTCAAGGACTGACATTCCCTCTCCCCTCTCTGGCTAGAAAATCAATAATGTCATTGGCAGTTCCAGACTTTCAGCTAAAGTGAATGTTCAAGTTTGAAGGCAAAGATTCTTTTTTTTTTTTTTTAATTTCCTTTTTGTGCCTTGATTTCATGTTTGGGTTTAGGGACCATTGTTTGATGTAATGGTAAAATCTCGGATGACAAGTGGCAAGAACTCAGGTTCAAGTATGAGAGCAGCCACCTTGTACAAACAAATGCCAAATGTTAGATCCAGCTTACCCCTCTCAAGACCCCAGATAGCTGGGACTAACATTAGGTAATGGCCTTTTAATTTCATATTTGGGTTTTGACCAAGTACAAGCTTATTAAAGTTCAATAATCCAGTTTGATTCCTGAAGTGGGATGGCGCACTTATCAAAAAAGAAACATAAAGTTGTTAGTGTACTCTCTCAATTTTCAGCTGCATAGGTTCAAATATGGCTTATGAATATTGGTGCTTTATGTCTTTACCGCCTTCCCAGTTAGGATATTTCATAGTTCAAAAAAACCCTTCAGTTACTATAACCATCTAAACTTTAAGTTTTTCTTGTTTCAATATCCCATTCTTTGGGATCCTCTTGATGGGATCCTTTCCCTTTTTGGGCTGCATGGATATGTTATCTTTAATTTTGTTTTCTAGCTCTATGACATTCAATTTAGTTTGATATGTAATTTGTCTTTTTGCCATGACTTGTGCCTATTCACAAGTATTTTACTGCAGTTCAATATGTTTACACTCAGAACTTGATTCCCTTTTTGTATGAAATCTAACATTTAATACATTGACCATGCAGGTTTTGTACAACTGGTCTTCCAAGTGATGTTGTCATTGAAGTTGGGGAAATGTCCTTTCATCTTCATAAGGTGTGTTCCATTAGTCAAGCTCGACTTTGTTCTTTTGCTTTTATTTTTCTTGTATACATGCATTCTATAGTTTGTGAAAACATGCAGTAATTCACTGACATGATTTATTTTCTATAAGAGAATGAATTGTTTGCATGGATGTACCTAAGTATTAATCCTGAACCCCCCCCCCCCCCCCCCCAAAAAAAAAAAACAAAAAAAAAAATGGTGCATGCAGTTTCCATTGCTTTCCAGGAGTGGGGTACTAGAGAAGCTGATTGGAGATCTCTCTGGTGAGGGTGGACAAAACTGTGTTTTGCAGCTTAATGACATTCCTGGTGGACCCAAGGTTTTTGAGCTCATAGCCAAGTTTTGTTATGGAGTTAAAATAGAACTAACTGCATTGAATGTAGTGAGTCTTAGGTGTGCTGCAGAGCACCTTCAGATGAGTGAAGACTATGGAGAAGGGAATCTCATCTCGCATACAGAAAATTTCCTCAATGAAGTCTTCGGAAATTGGATAGATTCAATCAAACTTCTTGAAACATGTGAAGAGGTCCTCCCGCATGCTGAAGAGCTCCATATTGTCTCCAGATGCATTAATTCCTTGGCAATGAAAGCTTGTGCCGACCCCAACTTATTTGGTTGGCCTGTGTCAGGGTGCTATAAAATGCAGAATGCAGGGGATACTGTCTTATGGAATGGAATATGCACTGAAGCTAAGCCATGTACGGTGAGTGAGGATTGGTGGTACGAGGATGTGTCATCCCTTAGTTTACCTTTATATAAAAGATTAATTCTTGCTGTTGAATCTAAAGGCATGAAGCCCGAGAACATTTCGGGGTCTCTCATGTTCTATTCAAGGAGGTGTCTTCCTCTTGGCAGGCATTCAAATTCCTCTGAGAATGTGAACCGGGTTATTCCTGGCTCCACAATTTCTGTCCCTTCTGAGGTAAATCAACGGGTTCTTCTCGAAGAGATTGTGGGTTTACTGCCCAATCAGAAGGGAGTCACACCAACCAAGTTCTTACTTGGGTTGCTCCGCACTGCAATGATTTTACATGCAAGCCCCTCTTGTCGAGAGATATTGGAGAAAAAAGTGGGTGCCCAGTTGGACCAAGCTGCATTGGAAGATCTTCTTATACCAAATATGGGCTACTCAGTGGAAACACTTTATGACATTGACTGTGTCCAGCGGATTCTTGATCACTATATGTTGGTGGACCAGGCAACAGCTGGGTCTTCTTCTCCTTGTGTAGTTGATGAGGGGCAGTTGATGGATGGGTGCCCTTCACTGACCCCAATGACAATGGTGGCCAAGCTAGTGGATGAGTATCTTGCAGAGGTGTCATCTGATGTTAACTTGAAGCTCCCAAAATTTCAGTCGCTTGCAGCTGTGATCCCTGACTATGCCAGGCCACTTGATGATGGCATCTACAGAGCAATCGATATATACCTCAAGGTAACAAAACTTAGGCCGAGTGTTCTCATTAGCATCTAAGGTGGTCTTGTAGTACAGAGAAAGGAACTTCTTTTGCACTCTACTTTAATTGTTTATTGGTGTTTAAATACATGGAAAGAAACACCTTGGACCCAAATATGTTACATCAGTATTTGGTAGAATAGGTGGGGGGTTTGAGACAACACATTCAGAAAACCAATAAAATTTTGAGGGGGAGCAAACCATAAATTTCCCTTTCTATATTATTGCCTTATCAGATAAAGTTATTATCCTTTCTTCATTTTCATAATTGTATTAATTGTCTTAAGCCCAATCTTCAAAATTCACTTAATGCTATATGATATCCCTGTCTTACAATTAAGTGTTGACGTAGTTAGGGGCAAATATACATGTGGGGAAACCTTGTGATTTGTTAGTCGTGAGTTATATAACCTGTGGGTGATTCCCAAATCTTGTGAGTTGGGACATTCTGAATTCCAAAATTCATGCCTGATTATGAAGGATGGTGTTAGGTTAGGGCCTGACATTCAGGATTTCATATGAATTTATTATATATGCTTTCAAGGTTTCAAATTTGCTAACTCAGTTCTTTGACTTCAGTCACATCCCTGGCTCACTGACTCTGAGAGGGAGCAGATCTGCAGGCTCATGAACTGCCAGAAACTATCGTTGGAGGCCTCCACCCATGCTGCCCAGAATGAGAGGCTACCTCTCCGAGTAATTGTTCAAGTCCTCTTCTTTGAACAACTTCGGCTCCGCACATCAATAGCTGGATGGTTCTTTGTTTCGGACAACCTTGAGAACTCGCAAAACACGCATGAGAATCTAGCACTTGCAAGGAACAATGGGTCCAACCAAGTTGATCCTTCTATCAGCATTGATGAGATGAGGTTGCGGGTTTCGGAGCTGGAGAAGGAGTGCTCTAGCATGAAACAAGAGATAGAGAAGCTTGGCAAGGCAAAGAGTGCTTGGAACATCTTTTCAAAAAAGTTGGGGTTCAAGCAAAAATCACAGGCCTGCAACCCAAAAGTGTCAAAACCCTGCAGTTCTAAACCACCCTCACCCCCACAATTACCTATGAATGAACAACAAAATCACATAAATGGTGATTTGTCTAATTGAATTTTCAGAGCTTAGACTAACCAAAAAGCGTATTGATTCACTACTCTCTCTCTCTGCGTGTGTCGGAAACTAGTTAGTTCTGATGTTTTTCTTTCCCGGTTTGTGGCTTAGTTATCGTTAAAAATCTGTGTAACTATGCTAGAAACTGGTCTATAACTCAATTGGTTTGTGATCCATCACCATTTTCACTTGACATCCTGCAGTGGAATTAACTGTAGGGGAACATCAACTTACCATTACCAACCGCTTTTTCTTAACGCTCCTCACATCAATATCACACAGCATGTGCAGCGCACATCACATTGGGAACATGAACATCTCCCATACTTATATGTTGTCATTCATGGGAGATGTTCCGGAGCAAATCCGAATTATTCCATCACACCCAACATGTTAGGAGGCATTCATCAATGTGAATTATTTTCATTGTTGCCGGTTCCAAAAACAAAACAAAACAAAACAAAACCAGCGGGTTTGAAAACAGATTGGTTCAAGACAAATACAAAGAAAACATGTTTTCATATGTTTTCATACAAAGAAAACATGTTCTTTTGTTTTCAAAACTGAAACCAAAGGTATGTTCTTGAATACCTGGTTTATAGAACATGTTTTCATATGATTATTTAACATGGTTTTTTTTTTTTCCATTTATTTTTGAAATTGCCACATTAGCAAAAAAAATAAATGAAAAAATAAAAAAACATATTCTTGAACTCTACTCTGTTTTTGTTTAAAAGGCAAAAAATAAGTTGGTTTCGTTTCAGAAAATAATAGGGTATGCTTCTGGAACCGTTGACATAATGCTTTTTAAAACAAAACAATTTTGTAGTATAAAAATTATATCATTTATGGAAACAAAAAGAAATTCATTTGTTAACACTTCTAATCTTTAGGCTTAGTTTGGAAGAAGTACAAATGCAAATATGTAGAGTGTAAAACCTTATATTTTGTATTATTTTTTATGTATTTACACTGTACATATTTGTATTTGTACTCTTTCCAAACTGAGCTTTATGGACAATGTTTTGAAAATCAGACTGGACTGGTTCCCAACAGCATGTCGGTTGAATTGGGATCAATCAGAGTTGGCCCTGGTTTTGGTTCCCAAACAGAAAAAGGTTGTCTTTTACAGCCCGATAATGTTTTCATGGTAGGCGTATTTGTGTAGGATTTAGAATCAATGAGAACTTGGAAGCATGGTTAATTAGGGGGTGCTCCAAACCGAGTACATATCTCCGCCCCACAATGTCCTACAGCACATCCCCACCATGTATTGGGAACACCTCCTGATGATAGTACCAGAATCGATGATGTCATCATCGGGAGATGTTCCCAATACATGGTGGGGATGTGTTGTGGGACGTTGTGGGGCGGTCCCTTGTGGGGCAGAGATGTGAACTCCTCCGAACCGACTTTTTATTTTTCAAACAGCACCAATCCTTCGGTTTTTGGAAAATCCCCACATTAAAACCAATTGGTTAATCGATGTGGTTCTTTTTGGCTTTTTATATTATAAATAAATATATTATATATTATAAACCAGTCGGTTTGGAGTTCACATCTCCGCCCCACAAGGGGCCACCCCACCAGTCCCGATAATGTCATCATTGGGAGATGTTCCCAATACACGGCGAGGATGTGCTGTGGGACGTTGAGGTGGAGATGTGATCTCATTGATTTGATTAATCAAATTTCGGTTAATTTTCATTTATTCAGTTTGGTTTTTCAATTTTTGATGAACACAGTTACTCCACTATGATTAACGGCTAGGCTACGACTCAGAAGTCTAAAACGCAAGAAGCTTCCATCACTAAACGAGTGGGCAGGCCCAGGCCCAAACGTAATTAACTTGGTAGGCATGTTATTTGATGAGTTACAACAAATTAGCCCACCATGTCCACATTGATCTTAATTTCTTTTCCAACCATCAGTCAATAAAAACTAAGGCTGTGTTTGGTTTGAAGAAAAAAGTAGGAAAAGAAAGGGAAATATAAGGAAACCTTTACAAACCTTGTATAAGTTTTCCTATATTTTCCTTCCTTTCCCTACTTTTCCCTTCAAACCAAACATAGCCTAAATGACATTGACTGGATTAGAAATCAGAATTGATACAGAAGCTCTTTACTTCGTCGTTTCTGTTTACTTGATGCATTTCTCAACATGAATGAACATTCGGCTCTGGTAATGTTTTCACTGCCCTCATAAACACCTACAGGCTACAACGACATATTAAAGGTTTTAAGGGTTTGACTCTGATATCGGGAAAACTTACAGAGTTAATCAACGAATATTATAAAAGTGATAACCTATCAAAATCAAAATTTACCAGCTCAAGCTCTTTTTGTATCATGCTTTTTCAACAGTATTTGATGAGGGCAGATTTGCCCCTCCACTGACATCATGACACATGACATATCAGAACAGCTGGACTACATCCCAGCATCACCTAGGCGACAGTTTGCCTTAGCCAAAATGGGGTCCCAGGTGGCGACCTGCCTCTGCCGCCAACCTGGCGACCTACCTCTCTAGAATTTTGCTAGTTGTCTTCGAACATTTTGGGATCACACTGCGTAACCGTAGGCTTTATCGTCATCCCGCCCGAATTGGAGAGAAATGGTAAGCCTTATTAGCTGGCACGTTATCCTCCTTCCAAAGCGGAATGGACCCCTACATCACGGGCCGAGGATTCCGTGAACGTTTTGCGAGACCCACGGCAACCCAGCTATATAAGGGCATCAGCCCCTGAGACCTAGGTAGATGTGCAATTTAGTTCTCGTAGCTCTCCAGCTCCCTCATATTTAGCTATCTTAAAATCTCTGATTCGCTAACTTAAGCATTGGAGTGCCCACCCCGGGTAAAGCAACCTGGGTACTCTAACACTGTTTCCTTGCATGTCGCATTAGAATCACCTCTTCAGCTCGTCACCACTTAGTTAGGCATCAGAGCCACCTCTCCAGCTCGTCACCATTCAGTTAGGCATCAGAGCCACCTTTCCAGCTCGTCACCACTCAGTTATGCATCAAAGCCACCTCTCCAGCTCGTCACCATTCAACTAGGCATCAGAGCCACCTCTCTAGCTCGTCATCATTCAGGTAGGCATCAGAGCCACCTCTCCAKCTTGTCACCATTCAGATAGGCGTCCAAGCCACCTTCCAGGTAGGAACCATTCAGCTAGGCATCCAAGCCATATTCCAGGTAGGGATTATTTAGTTAGACATCTGAGTCACTAGCCAGACAGGAACTGCCAAAACGCCTATCATCAATATTATATATTGAAATTGCTTGTATGCAATAATTACAACCAGCATGGTATTATATATTTATAAACCATCATAAAAAAATATAGAAAATGTTAAAAAATATATTATTTATTATTATTTCATCATCATAAAAAAACTGTCACGTGCAAATCACAATATACACACTGTTAAAACAAATGTGACAAGGTTATGTAACTTTAGCTAGAAGCAATTTTTTGTGGTTTTTTACCCTTGAAGTGCCCATGTATACAAATTTAAACACCAACAAACAAATGTGCACTGGGTATTATGTGCAAAAGCTGACTTAAATATAATAAATATGCATAAGTTATGTGCAAAAGCTGACTATAGGGTAGGAAATATGAGTCTGGCTTCAGTCTAGGCACCTTCAGTTAGGGCACCGTTCGCGCAATTGGAGGGTGTGCCACACGTCCTCCAATTCATGTAAATGGTTGAAGCATGCAGGAATGCATCACACACTGTTAGCTAACCCATTTTTCCAAATCCCCTCCCCTCCTCTCCTCTCCTCTCCCTTGAGTGTCGTAGGGACTCGTTCTCTTCTCCCTCTCTCTCCCCCCATCCACCTAGCGACGACTTAACAAGCATTACCGCCAGCAACAATCAGCCATCATCGGCAGCGGGATCAACCTCAGGTATTGTCTTCTTTGCATCTCTTCTTCTTCCATGAAAACTAACCCTAATTGGATACCGACAACCGACAACCATCATCACTGGTTATTAAACACAACCATTACTGGCAGCCATCATCACCAGTTATTAAACACAACCATTACCAACAACTATCATCATCAGTTTTTGTCTTTGGGTGTGTGGTTGAAAGCATCTTTGTAAGGATCGGGGAACAAGTCGCAGATGAAACGCTAACGCTGATGAAGTTTATTTGTGACACTTAGGGGGCGTTAATCCCATGTATTTTTTTTTTCAGATTTATGTGAGGATAAGTGAAGTTTATTTTCCTGGGTCTCTTAGGTAGATAAATAAGTTTTCCATCTAGAGGGAAAGTTTCTAACAATTGAATGGAACAAAAATGCCCTTTTTAATAATGGATTTTTATGGTTAAAATGGTCATTACCTTATTTATATGAGAAATAAAAGAACATGAATAAATGCACTTACACAATAAATGTTTCCCAGAAAAAACTTACTTGGATAAATAACTTTCCAAAAAGCGAACGAGCCTTAAGGAAGAGGAGGGGAGGGGATTCGAAAAAATGGATTAACTAACGGCATGAAGCATCCCACATGTTTTAACCATTTATACGAATTAGTGGACGCGTGGCACGAACGGTGCCTGGACTGAAGCCGGACTCAGGAAATATCCTCATAGTAGCTGCAATTGGCAATAAAATAAGATATTGATCGACTCTATAGTCGCACTGAATGTGCCACACGTTGTATGTTACGTGATCATACCAGTCTGACCCCCAAATGGTGGTTTGATTGTTTGCAAGACTCAGAGAGTATTACTGCTTTGGAGAGTTTCAAGTATCAAAACTGTTGGAATTGCACAACGGAAATAATGTAATATGTACGCGCACAGAAAGAAAATAAAAAGCAGATAGCATTAGAGAAAGAAAAAAAATAAGAGAGAACATCAGATTTATGTGGTTCGGCCAAAATGCCTACGTCCACGGGCAGCAGCTCGGAGCTTCCTTCTTACTATAAACAAGAGAAAATATAAAGATGACTTCACTAAAATCACACCCATACCCGACATTCAATACACCCAAACACAATATTCCTCTCAACATACTACATACACTAATACATGAAATGAAATAGAATATGTTTTAAAATAACATAGGAGKACCCCTATTTATACTTGAACTGAGGGATATAATGAGGTTTTTTAATAAATTTCTTC